GAACTATGGAGCCATTTGCTGAGATGAGGAGAGGAGCAAACAGCAGAGGGATATGGTGGGAAATGAGGTTCTTTGAATATGTTTGGTTTGAGATGCCTACTAAGACACCTAAGAGAAGATATCAAGGTAGACAGTTGCACATATGGGTCTGGAGCCCAGAAAATAGTTCTGAGATGGGCTATAAATCTGGGAACCATCAGCATATACATGGTGCTTAAAGCCATAGGATCCCCTAGGGAGTGAATGTAGGTAGATGTGGTCGGTGTATTTGTGTGTCAACTTGGCTGGGCCTGATTGAGTGGCTGGGCAGCTGGTGGTAGTTATTCCCCATGATGAGGCTGGCAATCAACTCCATGGTAGGATCTACCACAAGTAGCTGAGTAGCTGCCTTTGGGATGTGGTCTGCTTCCTGTATATAAAGAGAAGCTTTGGGAATGGTTTCTAGCCTATGGCATGCTTGGACCCTGTGTGAAGCCTTGTCGCTGCTCAGCAGCCTGCTATGCTCTGCCAACCTTGGGACTTACAATGAACTTAAGTTAATGGCTTGCCGTGTGGTTTGGTAACATTGGGACTATGCCTTTTTTCTTGTCAACCTTGGGGCCTCTCAGCCTCAGCAGCCAGCAGCGGTCTGAGTGAAGAAACGGGTCTAGCTTCAGTGGGCCAGGAGCAGGAGGCAGAACTGGACCCCAAGGTTGAGGGGCTTTCACCCAGCCCCAAGAGCCTGACACTTTGAACTTGGACTTAAAGCCTCCAAATTTTAAGAATAAACTCCTGTTTGTTAAGGCCATCCCATTTGTGGTATATATTCTTGTCAGAGCAGCACTAGGTAACCAGAACAGTAGAGGAATAAACAGTTCTAAGAACTGAGCCTATAGGCACACCAACATTCAGAGACTGGGAGAAGGAGAAGGCCTGCAAAAAGGGCATGGGGTCGGCATCTTCTGACCTCTTCCAACTTCAGAAGAGGAAGAATCAGCAATCAGCAATCAGCAGCCCAAGGCTTATTCCTATGAAGCCAGACATGCCACCACCCTCCAGCCTTTCACCAATTTTGACACCAGCCTCCTCCTATAGCATTCACTACTTCTCTGCTGGGTTCAATAATTCATTGCAATGGCCGCACAGAACTCACAGACAATACTCATGATTATGGGGTTTATTAGCGAAGTGAATTCAGATTCAGGAATGTGCTTAGGATACAATTCTTCCATCAGGACAGTCTCCCCTCTGCTGTGCCCTCAGACATGCCTCTCTGGCCCTTGCCCTCTCGGCCTGGCCTCTGCCCTGCTTGACAAGTATTACAAAGTTCTTTTAGCTCTGCTGATAGGTACACCAAGGCGCACCCCACTCCGTCAGCAAGACTTCTGCCTAAGAGCACTCAGCTTTCTTATTCTGTGGGCCAGGTAAACCTGCCACTCTGTCTTGTGCCTTGTGGTTCCACTGCGACTGTCTCTTTCTGCCAGGGCATCTTTCTCTGCCAGGATGTCTCTCTCTGCCAAGGAGGTCCAGTGCAGGGATCTTGGGCCCAAGGACGCACTCTACTTCCCCTCCAGCTCTTCTCTCTTGATGGTAGTGACATTCCCTTTCTGCCTCTAAACCAAAAAACCAAACTAAACTCACTGTCGTTGAGTCAGATCCAACTCATAGTGACCCCTCCTTGGGTTTCCGAGGTGGTATCACTATGAAAGTAGATTGCTCAATCTTCCTTCCAAGAAGTGGCTGGTGGATCTGAACCACCAGCCTTCTGGTTAGCAGTCAAATGCCTTCGGCCACCAGAGCTCTTTTTCTGCCTCTAGGAAGGCTCATTTTAAGCCTGGCAGAGTGACAAAAGTAACCAATCCCAAAATCAGAGTTCTACACACCTTATTTGCATGGTCCCACCCAGTAATCCGGTGGGAGTTACAAAGACTATGGCTAGAAAGGCTATACCAAGTAACTCACTGTACCTCAAGGACCTTAGATTTAATTCAGTGTGCAAAGCAAGGAGACTAAGGAGGAGCAGACATTGGGATAGTAGGAAAACAAGGGCACCTGGTATCTAGAAAACCAAGTGAAGAAATGTTTTGACAATATAAACAAAGAATACAAACCGACCTTCAGCAGTGAGGCAATCATTCATGATAGTAAGGAGTTCTGGTGGAGTAGTGGGTAAGACATTTGGCTGCTAACCAGTAGGTCAGCAGTTCAAATCCACAAGCACTCTGTGGAAGGAGGATGGGGCAATCTATTTCCATAAAGATTTATAGCCTCAGAAACCCAATGGGGGTCACTATGAGTCAGAATGGACTCAAAGGCAGTTTGGTTTTTTTTATTTTCATGATAGTAACAAAAGAAGTTTCAGTGGCAGTAGTATGGTAGGGATAAACACCGGACTAGATGGATTCAAAAGGAAATAGGGGATAGTACCTGGAGAGGAGAAAGTGAAGACACTAAGTATAAATAACTCTCACTGCCTTTCAAGAGTTTTGCTATTAAGGAGAGCAGAGATACTAAGCATAACAGGACAGGGTTATAAGGCCAAGGGAGGTTTTGTTTTCTTTTCTTTCTTTTTTTTTTATTTTTAATTATTTTAAGATGGAAGATATTATAGCATTTTTGTAAGCTGATAAGAATGATCCAGCAGAAAGGAATAATTTGATGATCCAAGAGAGAAAGGAAGAATAATTGCAAGAGGAAAATCTTTAAGCAGGTGAGAGAGGGTGGGCTCCAGGGCACCAGTGCAGGGGTTGGCCTTAGGAGCAGTGACAGATCATTCATGGTAACAGGAAGGGTGGCAGAGTATATGCTGATCGGGTGGTAGATTTGGAGAGGGAGTATGTATAAGTTTCCTGATTACTCCTATTTTCTCAGTGAACTAAGAAGTTAAGTTATCAACTGAGAGAGAAAGAATGTGGGGGGAGGTACTGGAGTCTGAGAAGAGAGGAAAAATTGTGAAATAAATAACCATCTGAAAGAGCTGGTAAATGAAGTGACTAAGGAAATGTGGTAGAATTGCCAAGGGTCGCCTTGGGGTTTATGATGATATATTTAAAGTGAGACAAGTTCAACATGGCCGTGTGTTTTTTCTCCAGGAAGATTCAGCTCTACAAGTGCTGACACAGCATGTTGGATTTAATCAGTGAATGTCGGCACAAGTGGTCTGCACTTGATTACTAACCTAAAGGTTGGCGATTCAGACCCACCCAGCAGCACCACAGAAGAAAGGCCTGGCAATCTACTTCCATAAAGGTTATAGCAGAGAAAATCCTATGGAGCAGTTCTCTTGTACAACACACGTGGTCACCATAAGTCAGACTCGACAGGGCAATGGGTTACGGGGATGCTGCCAGACAAGCAGGACAGAAAGAGACAGAAGCAAGGAGATCGAAGGAGTGATTATAAGGATGGATTTTACAGCCAGAGTTGAGTAAGAAGGGAAATGAGGCACAAGGAATGATGATGAAAGATGAAACAAGAGTCATGCGATTAGGAGGTCCCAGTGGTGGAAAGGAAATGCTGAGTGGAAGAACAAGATTGAGGAATAGCTTTGGAAAGTCAGAACATGGTAGTTAGAGAAAGGAATCCTTGAAATTAAGATTTTGGAGGTGGTGAATTTTTTTGGTAATGAGAAGGTCTAAAGTATGAACACAGGCATGGGATGCTGACAAGAGGAAAGGCAGAATCTCTGGAAGTAAGAAGTTCAAACGTTTTGGATGAGCTGTCCGTGGGGATACTGAGGCCACTAACGAAAGGAGAAATCATAAGAAAGAGAATAGTAAAACAGAGGCTGAAGAGCTATGAGGAACACACTAAGAGGGGTGGGAGGTAGTATATGAACTTCCAAAGAACGAGGGGACTTAGAAAGAAGGAGGAACTCAGACCTGGAAGCAGCAATGAAAAGTAAAGAAGTCACCTCCTGCATCTCCAGGTCCAGAGGGAGCTGGATGTGGAAGGAAAAACAGCCACTATTTGACAAGGCCACAGGGAATACTGTACCTTCAGGGGAGAGCCAGATCTCCAGTAAGAAGATGAGACGAAAACTCTGAGAAGTCTGAGGATGTAGGGGATTTTGCAGACAGCAGACTGAGTTTCAGATATTATTCTGTGTCTTTAAAAACATCCATATTCACACACTTTTATGTGCCTGGGAATTTTCAGAAAGGATGTAAAATAAACTTAGCAACCTGGAATGATGTGCCAACTCAGAGGCAATGAAACTGAAGTCCTGACCCCATCCAGTTAGTAGGAGAAAAGGAATGACCCCATGAAGCACACTGTTGAGGGGATTCCCATAGTGCATGAAGAGTGATCATAAATGTTCTGTACAAGCCCCACCCACACTGCTAGATTCTGTGACTCAATGAATCTGGCCATGTTTTTGTTTTTGACAAGTCCCTTAGTACCACTGAACCTTAATTTCCATATACATGAAGTGAGGAGGTTGGGGCATGTTGTCTCTTGACCTCCTTGTAGCTCTGATGGCCTATGAATCTCCTGGAAGCCAGCTCTGGGCCCAGCTCTGTGTTAGAAAATGAGACTAGAGAGGCAAAGACCGGACACAGGAACCCAACAGTATGGTGTGATGGGTGCACAAAACCCCTTAACACTCCCACTTCTCCCACTTGCACAGATAGTTTTTCAGTTACCTAGTTATACTATTCAGCAGCTAACCAAAAGGTCGTTGGTTTAAACCCACCAGCCACTCCAAGGAAGAAAGATGAGACAGTCTGCTTCAGTAAAGATTTACAGCCTTGAAAACCTCACGGGGCAGTTCTAAACTGTCCTACAGGGTCCCTATGAGTTAGAATTGCCTTGTGGCAGTGGGCTTTTTTGTTTGTTTTTTGGTTATACATACATATAGCAGGCAAGAAAATCCAGAACCTTTACACATGCAGTTAGCTGCACTCTTCCTCACAATTATACTTGTGGTGACATTATCGTACCCAACAATATCATCTCACATACACAGTGCCCCAAAATAACCATCTCACAAAATCTCAGTCCTGCAGATCCCCACCTACCTTGAGCAGGTGAGGCAACTGCTGGGTAACCAGTTCCTTAAACTCATTGATGCTGAGGCTGCCCTTCTTGCCCTCCCGCCCTGCAAAGGTGAAAAAGGTGGTGACCACTGTCTCGATGGCCACCTCCAGCTCAGTCAGTGGCTCAGCTGCCATTAGGACCCTGGTGCTGAAGCTGACGTCCTTAAGGACTAACCTGCAGGAGGCAATGGAACAGAGAGGGAGAGTCAGAGAGCCCAGGGATCTAAGGGTAGCCAGAGTCCCCTGCCCTGGCTTTGCCACTTGAGGCTTCTGCCTGGAGGCAAATTATGGAGAAAAAGGAGGGGGCAGGAGACCAGGCAACCATATCTCAGTTTACACGGTGGACAGGGATACTTTCAGTTCCAGAAACCTTTTCCTCTTTAGGTCTCACAGTCCAGGGGTCCTTTTGAGGTGTCTGCATCTTAGAGATCCCTCTGGGAAAGTATCTCTGATTGGAATCCCTTCTGTGGGAGGCTCTCAGTCTAGGGGCCCTCCTTTGGCCTTCTCTCAGTCTGGGGATCGCTCTGTGGAATTCTCTCAGTCTGGCAGGCCCTCTGTGGGGTTTCAGTCCCAAGAGTCCCTTTGGAGTCTCACTCAGCCTCAATGGGTCATGAGGTTGTCTGTCTCCAAAGCTTGTTTGTGTTGAGACCTGGGTCTCCACCCGCCTGCACTCCGCCCACACACTCTGGCCGCTCTTCCCACCAGAGAAGCCCAGGGTCTGGCAAATGCCCAGCTGTGGTCAAGGCTGGCTCGGTCTGGACAGATCCGTCTTCTTCATTCCCGCCCTCCAGGCGCAAGTGTTGGTGCAGCTGGGCTGAGGGCTAAACTCTGGATCCCATAGACCCACCCCTCTCCTGTCTCGGGGACAGGGGTCCCCAACGGGACTCCGGTGACACCTTGTGCCCAGGAAGGGGAAGGAGGAGGGCTTGGGCACTCAGAGTCCTCAGTGTAAGGGGGCTGGGCTGGAGGAAAGGGCCTTGCCCAGTCACCCGGCTCTTTCCCCTCCACTTTCTACAGGGACTTCTGCTTGATCTCCCAAACCACTTCCTGAATCTCTGAGCTGGCTCTGGGTAAGGGACCTGGGAGCCCGAGGAGGAAAGAGGATCCCTAGGCTCCGCCCTGCAGAGTTAGAGGGACACAACTCACCAGGGCAAGGAGATGTGGTGCAGCGAGCAGAAGCCGCAGGGCTGAAGTTTAAAAGCGCCCAGAGAGGGAGGAGAGAGCCGCGGCCAAGCCCGGAGGTCGAATTTCTGTCATTGATTTGGAAGAAAGGGTACCGCCCAACCACGCCCCTGAGCAATCAGCCTGGAACTCCGGGCCCCCCAATCCAACCCTACAGCGCCCCCACATGGAAGGGGACTGGAAAACCCGCCGGGAGTTGCCTAGACAGAGCCCGCTCAGCAGGGGTGCTATTCCTTATAATACAGGGGGCTCGCTGCCCCACCACACCCCTCTATCAAATCAAGAGTGTGTATGTTGAGGGAAGAGAGGCAACTGCAGATTGAAAGCAATCCAGGAAGATCAGCAGTGAGAGATGCACAAAAAATGCCAGAGGGTCCCTCAGAGACTAAGACCCCCTCAGACTTGATTGAGACTCCACATACAAAGGGGGTTTGAGGCTGAAACGCCCACAGAGGAGCCCCTGGATTGAAATCCCCCAGTGGGATCTAAGACTGAAACCCCACAAGCAGATTCCCAGGACTACATTACTCATTCAGAGGTCCCCCAGGCCAGTGAGACCCTATGGAGAAGCTCCAGGTTAAGATCCCCTCAGAAGGATTCTCCCCTTTCCTTATCCAGTGGGGTACAGCCAACCACAGGGGCGCCCAGCCAAGCTGGCGGTGAGACATCTGTGTCCTTCCCAGAGCCTCCTTCCCGTGCCCCACTCCCCCTTGCTGGTGCCTAGTAAGGGGTGGGGGATGGAGGTGACCAAGGCCGGAGAAGAGGACACAGGGTAGCCTGTTCCAGCCCAGGAGACAGAGGGCGCCTCTGTCCGCTCCTGGCTCCTTGCCCCACTGGGTGTCTGCGAAGGGGTGGAGCCGCTTGTGGGGGGGCTCGCGGGGGAAGGACGACTGAAGACAGGTCTCCCCACGCAGATCCAGTAGCCACATTTGCAGGCTCATCTGTCTGTCCAGAACCTGCTCCCACCTCAGGCCCAGGCCAATCGTGAGTATCCTACCCCACCTGGGCTACGGCCCTGCCCTGGCCAGCTTGAAGGGAAGAGGGTTTCGGGAGGGCTCCAGCAGTCTGGAAATATGGCCTTGTAGAGGACTGAAGATGTGGAATAAGACAGGGTGGCAGCAGTTTGAGAGGTGGAGGAGACAAGGTTGGGAAGGGAGCAGCAAAGGAAGGTCAGAGGGAGATCTGGAAACTCAATAGATGAGGAAGCCAGTGGGGAACCTGGCAGTCACTGAGCTTCCAGGCAACAGGGCTTCCCAGCAAAGACCCTGCAAGTTCTGTCAAGTTCTGTACCTCCCAGGTGCAGGGATGTGGACGCAGCCCTCACCTTGTCACTGTCATCTAGTCAGATTCCAACTCATAAGGACCCCCATTGGATTCCAGGTGGTAAATCCTTACAGAAGTAGATTAGAGAGCAAACAGAATAGCTGGTTCTGTCTGCCCCCCTCTAACCTGTCTCTACCACCTCAGTCCTGTCAAGAGTTCAGGTCCCACAGAAGTCTGGGGGTGGAAGAAATATATGATGTGATATCAGGAAGAGGGGGCACTTTGGTATTGTACACACCCCCAACTCTACCTCCACATGACCTCCCCTTTCTCCTCCTCCCCTTTCTTGGCTCAGGCAACCAGACACCTCTCCCTGCAAGTTCTTTCCTCTTTGTTTTCCCATCTGCCCCCACCACCACCACACCCCACAGCCAGGCCCTCTCAGAACTGCCCACACACACACAAAATCCCAGGGTGCTCGAGGGCTCCAGGCAACCTCCAGGTGGGGCAGGTAATCAAGCCCCAGAATCCTTCCCTTACACACCCCCTTATCCCCTCCATCAACCCCAGCTTGGGTTCCATCTCCCCCCCCTCCCTTACCCCGTGTCTGTGACAACCACTTCTCATGTCCGGAGTTCAGGTGACACTCACAAGGGCTCCATTGAAGAGTTGAGATGTCATCCGATCAGGGCCTATTGTCCAGCCCCCCGGGCCTGGGGCAGGATAGGGGACACCTGATCTGGGACATCTGAGCTGCCCCCTGAGAATGTGGAGGGGCTGATTGTCCCAGGACCAAGGGAAAGAGGCCCCCTGGCTTGGCAGGCTCCTTACCCCAGCCCTCTCAACAGGCCCCTCCATTCTTCTCTCTCCCAGCCCCCTGAACTCAAAGGACCTCTCACATGGCGCCCTTTATCTCCTCCAACACACACCAGCCCCATTCCCCTGCTCCCACTGTCCACACAGTGACTAGGATGTGCCTGGGGAAGGGGGATGGAAAGCAGCAGGGACAAGGCCTTGACAGATCTCCTCTCCCCTCTCTGGGAGCCCTGGCTCCAGGGATAAGGGGTTAAGGCTCCCTTCCCACCACTCACCTGATAGAAGGACTGATTCTGCAGAGAAGTAAAAGGAGCCAAACTAGAGGTAATGGGAAGTATACCGCAGAGGAGCCGAAAGGGCAATATTAAGGAGATAAAGGAGTTGAGGGACCAAAAGGGGCCCCTAGGAAGGCTGGCTGCCACCCCTCCATGCAGGCTCACTGAGGGCACCATACTGACTCTTTGCTAGGAGTGGGCAGTAGAGTCAAGGTTGTGGAAGACACCCAAGCCCACCACCCCCAAAAAACAGAGCTTGGCTGTGCTGGGCAGGCAAAGCCCAGGGTAAAAATAGAGCCTGGTCACATCCTATGACCACTCCTGCTTACCCCACCCTCTTCAGTTTCTGCCCAGGCAGCCAGCACCCACTGCAGCCACTACTACACGATTCTGGTCCAGCTCCATCCGCTCTATCTCCATGCCCAAACCCTGACTCTGTCTGGTTGGGATTTAGTTCTATTTGGGCTTCCCCTACATTGTAAAATCTCAGTGCAAATTAATGAACCGTGGGACTCCAATCTCATGGCTATTTAGGCTGTGGGACCAAGGCCAGGCCTGCAGTCAGAGTTCCCCTCACCCCCACCCCAGCTGCCTTGGGTCTGGTCCCAGGCTCACTTCCATCCTGGGGGGTAGGTGAGCTGCCGAAATGGGCTCTGAGCTGGAGACTGCGATGGAGACCCTCATCAACGTGTTCCACGCCCACTCGGGCAAGGAGGGGGACAAGTACAAGCTGAGCAAGAAGGAGCTGAAAGAGTTGCTGCAGACTGAGCTCTCTGGCTTCCTGGATGTGAGCACAGATTGGGGGTACAGGGTGGAGTGGGGAAGGGGTGAGCACATCCCTGCCATCTCCTCATCCCACCCCCAGTTCAGCCCAAGCATCTCCCAGCTCTCTCAGATATCTCTCCCGGGTTTGTCAAAGATACTTTTCCTGGTCAACTCCAAATGCCCTGATTTATTGAGTACCTACTAAGTTCAAACCCACCAGCCACTCCTCGGAAGGAAGGTTGGGCAATCCCACTTCCGTAGTGATACTGCCTCAGAAACCCAAGGAGGGGTCGCTAAGAGTCGGGGCCGACTCGATGGCACATAACAACAACAACAACAACTAAGTGCCCTAATTGCCTAGGCCCTGTGTGGATTCATCAATAACAAGGCTCACAGTCTAGAAGGGAAAGACTGTCACTTGAAAGTTAACCATGAACTCCAGAAATATGCAGAGCCTTAACAGGTTCCAGAAAAGTTTATGGGAGAGTATTAACCTGATTGTAGTGAGCCAGCATCTCTGAAGAGGTGACACTTGAGCCATGGATTTCCACTGGGAGATAACTGGGATAAATGCAGACATTTTAGAAGGAGGCATCAGCATGAACAAAAGTTTGGGAGAGAAAAGAATATGAAACATGCTCAGCAGTTTAATTTGACTGAGTGAAAGATACAGATAACTAGGCTACAAATGCTAACAGGGGTCACAGAGTAAAGGAGAAGCCTCAAGACATAGAAGATAGTGCACAGGCTTTGAGGTTTGCTTAGTTCTGAGTTCAAATTCTGACCCCACCACTTTCTAGCTATGTGGCTGGGCATGTTACTTAACCAATGACTGCCAATTTGTTTCTTCTAAAATGGGAATAATGAAACTTAACTCATTGTTTTTCTTAGATTTAAGTAAGATTAAAAAAACAACAACAACAAACTCACTGCCCTCAAGTCAGATCCAACTCAAAGCGACCCCTCCTTGTTAGATGTTGCTTGTAAACTCCTAGTGCATTGCTTGACTCATTGTAGGCACTGGACAGTTGGTAATTTATGTTAACATTATTTCTCTGCCCTGTTAATGAACTTACTTACTCTCTAACAACCAGTCCATGGGTGTTTGTTACTTTTGAGTAGGGAAGGAGAGGAGTCCCATTAGATGTAGTTCTCCCTCTTGTTCATCTCTGTCTCCTCTCCAGTCAACTACCCCCTGACCCCTGACTCAGTACTAAGCCCTTGTCCTCTTTACATACCTGCCTCCCCCTCTCCTCCCTCGGCAGGCCCAGAAGGATGCGGATGCAGTGGACAAGGTGATGAAGGAGCTAGATGAGAACGGAGACGGAGAGGTGGACTTCCAGGAGTATGTGGTGCTGGTGGCTGCTCTCACTGTGGCCTGTAACAACTTCTTCTGGGAGAACAGTTGAGCAGGCAGCCCCAGCAAGCCGCGCCCTTCCCTTCTACTGTGCCAGACCTGCTCCTTCACCCCACTTTCCCCTCACACCACTTTTCCCTCCCCATATTCCCCCATTCCCCATCAAGGGCGCAAGAGTTGCAAACCAGGCCTGCAACTCCTCTTTCATTAAAGGCTTCTCTCTCGCCAACCAAATGCTGTGTGTCTCCTCTAGGGTCCAGAAGTAGGTGGAGAAGTGAAGGTCCCAACTAGTCTTATTCGGGAAGGAGCCTTACTTGAGGAAGGGTCTTATTTGGAAAGACATCACTTGCATTAAATCTTCCTACTTGAGGAGCTCAAGGCCCAGCAATGTGGGGTTTCAGGGCTCCAGCTGTAAGTGGAGACATCAGTTTGTCAGGTATAAAGCCAAAAAAAGAAAGAACCTCCATTCAACATCCAACCAATATTTACTTAGAGCCTACCACCGTGTGCTAGGGAGTCTCTGGGTGGTGTAAAGGGTAATGTGCTCAACTACCAACTGAAAAGATGGAGAGTCAAGTTCACTCAGTGGTGCTGCAAAACAAAGTCTTGGTGATCTGCTTCCAAAAAATCAGCCATTGAAAACTCTGTGGAGCATAGTTCTACTCTGACACACATGGGGTCATCATGAGTCAGAACTGACTCTATGGTAACTGGTAATGGTACCATATGCCACACATTGTGTAGAAACTGGGGATAAAATCAGTGAACAAAACAAACACCACTAAAGTCCAGCAAGGATACCAGATCATTAAAACACAAACGTACACACACCAGTGCTAAAAAGGGAAATAAAAAAACCTTTTGCGTAAGTAAGATGAAGGAAGGGTTGAAGATGTGTTCATTCACTCATTCCTCAAACATTTGAGCACTCTATTGTGTACCCAGGGAGCTCTGGTAGCATAGTGCCTAAGGCACTTGACTGCTAAACAGAAGGCTGGCAGTTCAAACCCACCAGCCACTCCTCAGAAGGAAGACTGAGCAATCTACTTCCATAGTGATACTGCCTCAGAAACCCAAGGAGGGGTCTCTATGAGTCAGGTCCGACTCCATGGCACATAACAACAACAACATCGTGTACCCAAGGAGCACTGATGGCACAGTGCCTAAGGCATTTGACTGCTAACCAGATTGGTGGTTCAAACCCACCAGCTGCTCCACAGAAGGAAGATGAGGCAATCTACTTCTGCAAAGATTTACCGCCTTGGAAACTCAGTGGGGGTCGCTGTGAGTCAGAATTGAGTCAAGGCAGTGGATTTGGTTTGGTTTATTATGTATCCAGACATACCAAATATGCCTTTATAGATCTGTTTCAAAATCCACATGAATGGCAAGTGGCTGGGGGGGGGGGCATGGAAAAGTTAGCATGGATGCATAGATCTCCTCAAATAAGGATTAAGCAATATCAGGCCAAGTTGGGGAAAGAAAAGTAGAAAGGATAATGTGGATGGGCGGAGGTGAGTAGAGATGTGCTCCTAACTCTGGCCCTCGCCCTAACTTCTCAACTCTCTTCATAGGGAGAATGGGGATGAGGGGAGAACCCACAGCCATGTGATGTCCATTCTGACTCATAACGACCCTATAGGACAGAGTAGAATTGCCCCAGCAATGTGGAGTTTCAGGGTTCCGGCTGTAAATGGGGTTTTCCAAGGCTGTAAGTCTTTAAGAAGCAGACTGCCTCAAAGTGGCTGCTGGGTTCGAACTGCCAACCTCTCAGTTCACAGCAAAATGCTTTAACCACTGCGCACCAGAGCTCCCAGATGAGGGGAGAGGCAGTGCAAATTACCTGCCTTAGTGATCTGTAAAAGACCGGGACAAAATTCCACGTAAAGATGTTTAGACGGTCCATCTTAGCTGAGAGGACAAGGGGTGAACAAGGGGATCAAAAATTTATTTACATTGGAACTGAATCCGCTCTCAGCAGCTAAAACTACGAAGGACTACAGATTACAACCCCAAAACCACCTTGAACGTCAAAACCCTACACATCTTGATAACAAGGACACTGGCACGCTCGCTCATGATCCGAGCGCTCAACGTCCCACAAACGTGGCCGTCGCTAAAGCTCCGCCCCCAGCTGGGGCTCCTCCCCTGAGCCTCACGCAGGCGTAGCATAAATGTTTCCCGCCCCCTAGTTGTGCGTGGATCGGACGCCTGACGTAATTGCGTCGACGCCATTTTAGCCGGCCCCACTCCGCACTGGGCGTGGCGGCCATTTTGTTTTGGACTTCGAGCGGGAGGTGGCGGTGTCGGCGGCAGCGGTGGTGGCAATTGACAAAAGGAAGCAAAGGGCAGGCCGGGTGAGCAAGCGGACCGGCCAAACAAACAGCCAACAAACAACGAACTAGCCTAGCAGTCTAACGCTTACGCATCCAACCAACCGCCCACTAAGTTACCCCGAGCCCCCCACCGTCAACTCAGGTTCGGCCGATCCCCGGCCTGCCTGCCGCACTCGTGGTAGCAGCCCCGGGAGGAGCCCTGGCGTCCTTTTCCTTTGGTGCGTTTCTGCTGTGAGGAGGGGTAAAGTCTTGGGGGAGCGGAAGGAGCTGGCGATCGCGGAGTGTAGGGTGGTGGGACGTGGAAGCAGATCGGGTGTTGGGAGTAAGGAGGCTTCCGGAAGGGGGCGGAGCCCTGGAGGAGGTGGGAAGAGGCTCAACTGTGGACTTGCGGCGGGAATGATGGAGGATGATTGGGGAAGAGGGAAAATGGTTTGGTGGGTTGAGCACAGTTGGTAGTCTTGATCGGGCTTTGAGGTGGTAGGGAGATTAAGTTAGCACTTTTGACAGTGGTTAAAGCGCTCGGCTGCTAACCGAAAGGAGATTCGAACCCACTAGCCGGTTCGCGGAAGACAGATTTGACAGTCGGCTTCATAAAGATTTACAACCTAGGAAACCTTATCGAGGCAGTTATACTCTGTTTTATAAGGTCACTGTGAGTCGGAATCGACTCGATGACTGTGGGTTTGGTTTTCGTAGGTACAGAAATTAATGACTTAGAAAGTAGTGGCGGATTTACCGTTAAATTCTGTAGAGGACTCTACGAGCTAACTCCCAGGTGAATGCTTGTTTAGAAACCTTTCCTACTACCTCTTCTAGTTCACCAATCCACTGCTAAGGCCTCTACCTGATTTTGAAGTGGAAAGCCAATTTGAAACCACGCATGCCTGGTTTTACTCTCTTGAGTGCTTCTCAACTTCAGCTGCGCATTAGAAGCATTTCGGTAACCGTTCTCCCCCCTCAATTCCTGATCTCCAGCCACACCCCCATTGATTGTGGTTTAATTGGTCTGTGCCCCCCACCAAAAAAAAAAAAAAAAAAAATCATTGCCATCGAGTCTGTTCGACTCATAGCGACCTCTCCTTGGGTTTCCCAGGCGGTATCTCTACGGAAGAAGTGGCTGGTGGGTTTGAACCACCAGCCTTCTGGTTAGCAGTCAGGTGCCTTAGGCACTGTGCCACTACTCTGTGCCCAGGTTTCTGTATTTTTAAAAGCTCCCTGGGTAAGTCCTGGAATTCTGGTAGCATAGTGATTAAAGCATTCTTGGCAGTTCAAACCCACCAGCAGTGGGCATTCTGCTTGGTAAAGATTCACAGTGTTGGAAACCGGGTGGTGCCGTTCTGCTCTTCCTAAATAGTGGCTACAAGTTAGAGTAGACTCAGTGGCAGTGGTTTTGGGTGGGTAAGTTATGAAGCCATTACACTGTCAGTTGAGAACTGCTGTAGATCAAAAGCCATCTCTGGTTCTGCCTTTTTGGATACTTTGACAGATATTTTATGTCATGGCCTTAAAATGTTAGTAATTTGAGATAATTGCCTTATAAACTTAAGCACCCAATACAGGTTCTGGTGTGATCCTCAGTAGTCAAGTGATCAAGGCCTTTCTGTTCATTGTTGATTGGGTCCTTGGCCCTTGTAGAAGTGAGGTGGCCATTATTCCAGTTTGCTCATTTTCCCTATTGTTCTTTGTAGATTCTCGGGATTTGAAGATGGCTGCACAATCAGCTCCGAAAGTTGTGCTAAAAAGCACCACCAAGATGTCTCTAAATGAGCGGTGAGGCAGCCAACAGCAACTTCAGCTCGTTCATAAGAAAACATTACTTAAATTGGCCCTGGGGTCCAATGCACAAAAAACGGTTTTAAACTAACTAAATAACCAACAGAAGGCTACAGACTTCTGTTCTTAGTTGCATCTTATGTGGTACACAAAACATATTGGGCGGTTATTCAAAACCCCTTATCAGTAGATTTTTGTGTAAAGCTGTCTGAAACATTTATCTGGTGGGATGTATTTTAAAAAGACTCCTCGCACCCTCCCTCTCTTCACATTTTTTTTTTTCACATTGATACAGGGGTGGTGCAGCATGGTAGCATGGTACCCTTGCTGCAATAGGCTTGCTGCTTAGTCCAAGGCCAGCAGTGTTGTATCTGGCCTGTAAGAGGCAGGTAGCAAGCCATAAATCTGTCCAAAGGCCCTTGAATGTCATTCTTGGGCCTTGTAAGAGGCACTTGCTTTGCTCCATTTCACTTTCTTTCTACTCTGCTTTTAGTTTGTTTTTGTTTTGTATTCTTTCACAGTTGTGTTCTTCTCTGTTATTTCATTAAACTTACCTTGACAGGATTAATAGAGTGTCTTCACAAGCTCTTAAATGATTGAAGTAATCTAACTTTCTCAAGAGATTATTTGGAATCAGGAAAAGTGGTAACTTAAGACTGAGAAGAGTTAGGTTTTAAAAGTAGTTTCTATCTCTGAGAGCTTTGTGCATTGAGAGCCTTTGGCCAGTAAATTTATTAAGTTGATGTTAGACCACTTGGAGATTTATTTAATTAATGTCTTGTTTTGCCTTTTTTGAAGTGTAATGGCTGCTTTTCTGTTCGCTACGGGATGATAGACTTACTAACTATCCATATTCACAAGTTACTAAGTGAACAAATATGTAAGAAAATGTGATGCACTCCTATATACTGTTTCCATGGTCTCTACGTGGTGCAGACAGTTAATGCAGTCGACTGCTAACAGATTGGTGGTTTGAATCCTCCCAGATATGTCTTGGAAGAAAGCCCTGGCAATCTGCTTCCAAAAAATCAGCCATTGGAAACCTTATGAAGCATAGCTCTACCCTGACACACATGGAGTCACCATGAGTCAGAATCGAGTCAACAGCAACTGATGATATTTCCA